ACCACCATCATCCCAGTTTTAAGGTCATTTTGCCAGTTTTATGTCACATAAGTTAAGCCTTTTCCCATCTACTAAAAACAAACAACAGCTTTTCTTTTTTTTTGCTATTTTTTTATTACGCTAATCTTTGGAGAAAACTTTGATATTTGTCAGAGTTGAAAGTTAACAGGTATAAACACCAGAAATATTTGACTTGTGAATGTAAGGGCAAAAAAAAAAAAAACAATTTTATTTAGATCAATGGAAATGAGCTTCCAGACAGTGATTATCTGTTGCTCAGTAGCAAAGGATAAAACATTTATATTTTCTCCTGCTTCCTCAGAGTTCCTTCAAACTGTCAGAGAGATATCAACCTGTTGACCTTTGACCCTGATGGAGACGAGGTTAAATGCAGATATGCATCTTCTTTTTATTCTTATGTGTGCGACCGCTGCACAACACCATCAGTCCTCAACCTCTCCTCAGTAAGTATAAAATGGCGGTCATGATACTTTTGAAAGCAACATGCGGTCAGCAAAGGTAAACAATCAGGTTTAATATGAAAACTTGGATATTATAACTAACCAATAAAAAACCTGCACATTTTCCTCCCATGGATCATCAAGCTTCTTCTCTCCAGGTTTCCACTATCTTAGCAATTCACTGAGCTCTTCATCTCTAGGGGCCATTATATTCCTGAAGGATTCTTGGAGTTTGGATGTTTCATCTTTGATAATGAGTCTGATGGTCACTGGGCCTCTGCTTCCTTCCCTGTGTTTAATGTACACTGTAGCTTGAGGAGACTGGATTCAGTGACCATCATACATGATGAGCAGTTCTCTTACTTTAAAATCTGTGGTCTGAATTTTTGTCTTTGTTCAGGTTATTGTTCCTACAGAGAATCTATTTTTTTTAATTTAATTTAATCAGTCAATGTATTAAGGGTGATTTTTTTATAGTAAATTAGTAACCAGGTGAGCAGGAATAAACTGGTTACTCTAAAAGCATAACTGATTGCCCAGACCTTGTTCTCAGTATTGAGGTGACCTCTCAGAAATGGCCTTATTCTCCCCCTGTCCCTGCGCTCTCTGGACTCGGTGGATATCTTTAAAAAGCAGCTAAAAACACACCTGTTTTCACTAGCCTTCCAAAGCACATAGCTTATTGTTTTATTCCCTTATTTATTATAGCTTTTATTGCATTTTATCTGTTTTTACTTGTGTTGTTTTTATGTTATCATGTAAAGCACTTTGTGACTTCGTCTGTGAAAAGTGCTATACAAATAAAGTTTACTTACCTATTTGTTGCAGGGGTCTGGCTGTAGCTGCTTTCCTTCTCCATAGCTGCCATTAGCCTGTGGTAAGGTTTATAGTGTCATGTTTAGAAAAGATCGACTCTGATTTAGGGCAACCATGGAGACAGAAAATTAGTTTCAGGAAGTTTTATTGATAAGGTGCAGTTTATCAGAGACGGTGCTGGCCGACTGATCGTGTCTAGTTCTGCTGGGAAGAAAGAAAGCACTGGTGAACAAGATGCTGAATGAGAAGAGTGGAGGAGGTTAAACTCACAGAGGCTGAGGCTTGGCTTGACCACAGAGGGTGGTTTAAGGGGTCCGGGAGATTGGTGAGAATCCGGTGGTTATTTATTTTGTGCAGATGGTGTTGGAGGGTGGACAGGCAGGTGAGCTCAGGTAGGAGGACCAAAGCAGACTGGTGATCAAAGGTTTCTTTGATACCTAAGGGGTCCAGGATTGGAGGTCCTCAGGCTTGGATCAATGGTTTCTAGAAAGGAAACAGAGACACAGAATTTAGGAAACGGCTTAGTGGTTACTCGAAATAAAGCTGGTCAGTCTAATACCATGCTGGAAGAGAGAAAGAACTAATGCCTTCCTCCTGGTTTCTGCTCCTTAAGCAAGGCTTTAATTAGCGGTGATGGGGATCACCTGCCCGTCACGCCCTGCAGAGAAGAGAGAGAGAACCTGGGCCTGTGCCCAGACCAGAGAGTATGACACTTCCCCTCCTCTTTATTCTCCCTTATAGAAGGTAATATTCCTTTTTGTGGATAACCATTCCTCTCTTTGTCAACATCCCGCTACATTTCCACAGCCTGATTGATATTTCAATGTTCTTGTTGTTAGGATGGGCATCAAGTTATGAGAAAGGACTGGAACCAGGACTAACATTGTCACTTTCCAGGAATCTTTCAAATGTTTTAATCCTTGTTTTAATCCCTTGTAGACACTAAGCTTCCATTGTTTGTCTATGGCCACTGTATTGTGTAGCGTGGCTCGTCTTTGAAATGCTCTGCTGGTGTTTTGCACAATTTAGCTCCCCTACTTAATCTGTTGCCCTGGTTTGGAAAGGTGAATTCTACAATCTGCACATTTCTGATCAATCTGTCTGTGAAAGGGCAAAAAAAAGATCTTTCATAGCACCATTGTTTTTATTTAACCTTTCAATCTGCAGTTTTCATTAAAACCAGACAAGTTTTTTAAAAGTTCATGTTGCTTTTGTAAACAACAGTTCTAATGTCAAATATTAATGGATATTAGCAAGAATAGTTGTTTATACCAACTTTATAAGTTTTTTTTTAGAAGTAGAATGATGTCAAATAATGATTTCCATCCTTGTTTTGATTTTTTTCATTGCTACACATCAGAGGACAGGGACAGAAAGTCATAAAAAAATAGAATTATATAACCATAAAACTTATGGTCTACATCTTTACACCAAGCTGAGACTCTATTGCAGGCATCCCCAAACTCGGTCCTCGAGGGCCGCTGTCCTGCAGGTTTTAGAGGTTTCCCCTATTTAGCACAGCTGATTATAATGATTGCAGTAGAGCAAAAGCCTGTTAATCATCTATCAATTAAAATCAGCTGTGCTGGAGCAGAGAAACATCTAAAACCTGCAGGACAGCGGCCCTCGAGGACCGAGTTTGGGGATGCCTGCTCTATTGCATGACCTTAGGCTTTAAAAATATCCATTGAGATTGAACTGAAACAAAAGAGGAAAGAAGGGCAGAGAAAATGCTGTTGGAAGAGAATATAAATGACTAATAATTAGTGGGTGTGTCATGAATGTTTAAGGATCTGACCCAAATGCAGAGAACCATTCAGAGAACCAGGGAAAAAGTATGCAGGAAGACCTCCTGCTGAAAGGCAAAGACAAAAAAGACGTTAGACTCAGTGAAACAAAACTCAGATTAGAGTTTAGCTAATCTCAGCTTGGCTAGAGTACCCAAAAACTGGCAAACACTCTGGCGTCGAGGTAGTGACAGTCCACTGCTTAAATACTCCTCAGTGATGAACCAACCAGCCGCAGGTGTGCATGAGGACCAACGAGGACAGGGCACCACCTGGTGGTGGAGGGAGAGAAAAACACAAAAAACAATCCACACAAACTGGATTCCTAACAGGGTGGATTTATTTTTCCCTGATTAAACAACATAATCTGGTGTGGAAAATGCTCCACTATTCCACTTTGCCTTATTTGATTTTACTTGTAAATGAACAGACAAATCAAATAGTGACTCTGGTATTAGTGGCCATTGTCCTTTCAGCCTCCTTCCCACCACATGGTGCTACTATTGGGTTAAGGACTAAAGTCTCTGATCTATGACTTTGATTCAATGTTTGGAACTTGAAGCACAATGTTTTTAATGTAATGAGGATTAAAGGTCAGGTCAGTAAATAGGTAGATATAAGAAGGGAAACATTTGATATTCCCAGCCAGTGGAGTATTATTGGTTAGAAACATCTGTTTATAATATATTGATGCTTCTCCAACTGAGCTGAATATCAGTTAATTTCAGGTCAAAACCAACTGAAGGTTTTTTCCAACAGTTTATTCTATTATTGTAAAACTAACAATATAACAAGAAAATTTGTAGTTGTTAAAATTGGAAAGACATGAAGTTTTAATTTGAATTTTTTAGGTTTTTTTAAATGTTTATACAGTACATCAAGTTAATGATTGTATAACAGTACAGCACAGCAGCAACAGCAATGCAGTGTTACAGGACTGGATGTTTGTCTATAAACAGATTTAAACTTTATGTAAAAAAAAGTAAGTTAACAAAGTACCTTCACCAAATCTAGACCATTCTTCTTCTGTCTTCTTGCAGTCCTGTAATGTTACATTCAGTCCAACCAGCAGCAGTGCAGAGGGTTCATATGCAGTGCAGCTGCAGATGGAGGACTTTCCCAGAGAGGAAATCATTATGACTGATAATAATGGTGTAGAGTCCTAAATCTACCACTTCATATCTCAGCACTGTACCTGTTCAGTTTGTCTTCACAGGTAAAATTACACTCTTTAATTATTTTTTCCACATCCATGGTGAGCTAAGAAAATTCCCTGTCTTTTTCTTTGTATCCGAAGAAAGTCTGTCAGTGACCCTCTACAGATTAAAACATGGAATTTAATCTTGTTATGATAAAGGAAGTAAAAATACATCAAACAACTTTAATCAGTGACTAGCGACAGATTTATTTACAGTAACTGTAGAGTTATTTGACATAATCCTATAAGCAGTCCATTCTAATTTAATTTCCATCAGAGGTTCATATCAGCATGTCTAACTTCATTTTCCTGCAATTTTCCAGTGGATCCTGCAGCACCATCCTGCACAGAAGGGGAATATCTGCCCAAATTCATGCCTCCAACTCCAGGAGTTCAGTTCTTCATTGATGTTCATCAGACTCTGGAAATCACCATCAAAGCAGAGGCAACTCAGGCTTTGTAAGTAATAACTAAATATACCGTCTAATAGGAAGAGAAGGAGATGGTTTCTTTACTATAAAGCAAAAACATTGCTTTAGTTTTTTTGGGGATGTAAATATGAAATAATATGTAATTGAAGCTGTTTTTTATTCTTTACAGTTTTCCAGCAGTAATATTTCTGGCGTGTCACAGGAAATGATTTGTGGTTTCAGGATTTTTTTTCCATTATCACCAAACAGACTTTATGTGTTTCCTGTTTGTTGAAGGACCACTGAGCTCCTGTTCAGCGTGGTGTGGTCAAGAATTCATCTAGTTTAGGATATTTCACCATGAGATGGACTCCATCTGAAGATGATTATAACGAGAGCCACCCCATCTGTTTTGTTGTTCAGGCAAAGTCTGTATCTGATCTGATGGTCACAATTTTTTAAAATGCAAACAAAACTGTCTGAATATCTGTCATGAAAAGGCCAAACTGACATATTTTTTTTTGTAATTACATTTCAATTACTTAATAGATTATTTCATGTAACTTGATCTTTCAGGCATTATTCTGAGGAAGAAGATGTGATTCATTTGGCAATAGTTTTGCTCTGATTAAAGATAAAAAGACCATTTTATTATTTACCTGTGCAGGGGGGCTAAATTTGTATCAGTTTTAAAATACAGTTGGGGGTTTAAAAGAATCAGATCATAGCTGTAAATGAGCTAAATAACTTTAAATGTGTTAGACTACATTTAAAGTTATTTCTCCAGTAGTATAACGTAACCCAAAGCAAACTGAAGGAGGGTTTTAAAAACAGCTAAAATCAGCAAATGTGTTTTTAAAAGCAATTATATTGTAAATTTAAAACAACAATAAATTTCCTTTTTCAAATCTGCCTCCACAGTATCAGCAGTTCTACGTATCAGTCTGAGTTTCGATGTGTAGTAGTGACAGTTGGAGACAGTAAGTTAATTCTTATTCATGTTTGATTCAATCTTCTTTTTTATTTAGTGGTTTTATTATGTATTTGCTGCTATCTAAGGACCAACAGTGACTCCAACCACTGTCACATCAACAACTACTAGAACCACCAATGTCCTGCCCACCACTGTCACGTCCACCACTGTCACACCAACAACTACTAGAACCACCAATGTCACGTCCACCACTGTCTTGCCTACCATTGTCCTGCCCACCACTGTCCTACCCACCACCGTGATGCCAACAGTTGGAAATGGTAAATTAATACATATATTTTTTTCATATTTGATTTAATCTTCATTTTTATTTTCTGAGCTATACTTTTGCTGCTATCAAAGGAGGAACAGTGACTTCAACCACTGTCCCATCCACTGTCCCTTTGACAACTTTAAATCCTCCTCCAAAAACTTGTAAGTAGAACTAAAGCGGTAAGTAAGTGAAAGTATCCCTGTAAACCATGTTGATCTCTTGTGCTTCCAGCTATTTTACTGTTGTGAGACTGAAGATCTCGACTAAACTGTCACTGAAAGATGATCAGGACAAAATTGTAAAAGCGGTGAGTGATGTTTTTAACTGGTTTAGTCCAAATGTGTTGATAATGTTAAACAATAACCCAAAAGTTTTGTCTCAGTGATGCAATTTAGCTCAGCTGTTGATGTTAGTTTTAATCATAGAAGCTTTTCATCATATCCAAAAAGCACCACTGGTTTGTCTCTTATACATCTTGTGTTTTTTTTCTGCAGCTCAAAAAACAACTGATTAAACAAGGGTTGCCACCTGATATAAAAATACACCTGCTGAGCAACGGCTCACTGGAAGTTAGTAAAACTGCTGACCCCTAGTGACTGATTGTGAGATGGATGTGATCCCGGCAGGAAAACATCAACGGATTTATCTGTTGTTTTTTTGCACTTTGAATTGCACGTGTGATGTTTTTTATGAACTAAAAATTATACACATTTCTTTATTCTGTGTTTTAATCAGCGTTGGTGTAGTAACACTTTCACAAAAAATATTTCATAAGCAGTTATCAATATGACGTGAATAAATAGAAATGTAAATAAGATCAATATTAGACGTCACTTAGACTATTTATGCAGGCAGATATTTACCTAGGGATTTTCTACTTCTTTGTACCTATCCTCCTCCATCAATGGGTAGCTTCTGTTTCTCTGGGAATTTATTCAATTTCACATCTAATCTCATTCTCTATGGACCAGTTATCTGTGAATAAAACTCTATAAATAAACAAGATTTTCAAAATTAATTCTTTACCCTGTGTAGAAATGACATAAATACTTGGAATCTGATTTATATAATTTCTCCATGATGTGGAAAAGATGTAGACCTTGTTAACTCCTTATGATGAATTCATACATGAATAATGAAATTGCTGATGAAGATTCGCAGTCATCCAGGTCATTGTTATTCCGTAAAAGTAAAAAAAAAAATCCACTGGACTTGGTTTCGAAGATTTGAAGATGTTTCGCCCCCTCTCCAGAAAGCTTTCTCAGACTTCGTCCACACGAAGTCAAAACGAACACGAAACGGTAATATTTTCCAGAACGTTTGTCGCAAAGACGGAGACGTAAAATAAATGTGATCGTCCACACGAATGCATGAAAACGCTGCAAAATGTATGCCAGGCCTATAAGTGGCGCTGTGGTGCCAAAGCAAAAATAGGCGACGAAATGTTGGGCATGCGCACTAATATTTATACATGGTTGCCCTGCGGGTCCATTTTTGTGGTTCAGTCAAATTCAGGTGCTGAACTATGTCGTCGATATTGCTCTGTTCTTCCTGGAGATATTCCAGAAGAAGAAGATTCTGTTGTAAGCCCGACAGCAGGGTGAGTAGCATGAGCAGCAACCATTCAACACAGTACGGCGCCATTGTTGTTGTGATACTGTGTCGCGCATGCGTGTTTAGAGGCGACGCTATGACGCATGCGTGTAAAAAAAAATGCGGTTAGAGCTTAAAGATGGAAACGCGAAAACAGCGTTTCAAAATCTTCCCACTCTGAAGGCTGAATAAAAAAAAGATCGTTTACAGACCCCCGAAACGCCGGCTTCGTATGGATGAGAGGCTGGTTTGGTGAAAAATTTTTGCGTTTAGGCCAGGGTTCGGCTTCGTGTGGACGGGGCCTTATACAGACAAGGCCTTGTATTGCTTGGAAACATGCAAATGGAAACCGATGAGTGGGTCGTTTTGTTCCATTGTTAGCCTGTAATATTTGAAACCTGTCTATGTTTTTTAAGGGTCGGTCGTTAAGGAGGTATTGTTCACCGGCTGGAGCGGTTAGGTGCTTTGTTCCTGTGTGATGGGGTGGGGGTTGTGGTAATATCTGGAAGGGATCATCTCTATTACTGAATTGTTAGTTTTTTGAAGCTGGAATCTGAGTCCACCACCTCTGTTTAAAGTTGTTTTTTCTCTGTTAACATCAGAGATGGGGACTCGAGTTTGTGACTCGTACTCGAGTCACACTTAAGTCGCATATTTAATGACTTCAGACTCAACTTAGACTTGCATTTAAAGGACTTCAGACTCGACTGAGACTCGTGATTTCCGACTTGTGAACAATATTTTATTTTGTTTTACTAACTTGACTGATCGCCGCTCGCCTTACCCGCACACAGAAGAGGTAAAAAAACCCCAAAAAACTCAAAGACCCAAACCGTGAAGCACCAAGTTCAAGTGTTTTATTTATACAAAAAGCCACAGCAAAAGTGGCATAATAAAACAGTCTTTTTCTTCTCCTGATAAAACCTAAAATTCAAGAGTTTTCCTTAAAAATCAGAGGCTGGAAGTTGGGCTTGTTATGCTGCTTCTGGTGCGAGTGATCAGCCTGCAGCACCCACTGGCTGATCCACAGCTGACTCTGCGGCGTTCCGGCACTGTTCCACTCCCTGGCGTGCCAAACCCCTTTCCAGACCGATCCAGCTAAAAAGAGAAGCAAGGAGAACGCCAGCATCCACGCGCCAAAACCCCCTCGGAAGATATATTCCTGTTTATGCTTTAAGCGAGGGGGAGCGCTACTTACAGGCGAGGTTCCTCCTCTGCCCTAATACTCCTTACTGGGCCATCTGTGCACCCTCCTGGCGCATGGACCCCGCCTGCATCTCCCCCGGCAGCGCGTCCGTCTCTGTCACCTGCAGATTCCGTTCTCCTTCTCCTTTCCTTCAGACTCCTTTTATGTCGGCTTTAATCAGCCCTTGCT